GGAGGGAGGGCGGAGTTGGAAGGGGAGGCGGATTTAAAGTAGAGACAACGGAGTGGGGGTGGGACAGTACGCCAGGTTGCAGCCTGCCTCACGCTCCACCCTACCTATAGCTAGTGACGAAGCACCGGTCACCCCTTACAAGACGAACCTAGAAACCCAAAAGCAGCTATCAAGGCTCAGGGACTGGCGGTGTGGGTAGGGGTACGAGAGGTGTTGAGGAACAGAGGCGGAGAACAGGTGGCTAACTCTCCCTCACCACCTCGAGACTCAGGGCCTAGCCTGAGGCCTGCGACCGCGTACCACCCGATAGCTGCCACCCCCCCTAAGGCCCCAGCTTGGTCCTCAAAGGTCAGACTCCTCCAGGTGCAAGGCGCCTGCGCACTGCGCCGCTCGGCACGCCGCCGGGTCAGCACCCCCACCACCCCCAAGGCCCGCGCCAGCCGGAGTAGGGCCTCGGAAACCCTCGCCTGCAGGCGCCGCCTCTCAGGCCACGGACGCGGGCATCACCTGGATTCCGGCCTTCGGGCTTACACCTCCCGTAGACTTACAAGCGCCGCAGATCTGGAAACGTTTCTTCAAATCTGGGCGCCGCCGGCGTCCACAGAACTTACACTTCAGTTTAAGCTCACCGCCTTCCTGGTTTCACCGCCAGGCAGCGTCAGCCGAGCTTTCGAGTGCATCGATGGAGGCTGCCAGGCGTTAGGAGTGCCGAGGGAGTAGATTGTCACGCCGCCAATTTCTTGTTTGGTATTGGTTTTGCTTGCTTGATTATTTGAGTTTCTTGTAACCAAAAAGCAATAAAGGTGGGGACTGAAAAGTATTATTGCCTTAGTAACCGTCGTTATCGTCACAGATAATCAGCACACCAATCTGCATTATAGGAAGTTATATAGACACCCACACGTAGCAAAATCGATTATCTCACGCTGGGAGAGGAGGAAACTGGCCCAACAATAATAAATCATGGGAGTGTGTCTGTATAGCGTCAGAGTCGTGTGTGATTAAATTGTAATGATTTATTTGCAAAAATGCATTAAAAGTCGGCGTTTCTTCTGCCCTGAAGGTGAAGGCACAGGTTGGGCGCAAAATTTTTTCTCACGTTAAAGTAACTGGTTGGTTGCGGAATGGGAGAAAACTGCCCGAGGCAGGGAAAGGAGGTTTCTTCTGGAAAATAAATTAAATATGTAGGGGCTTTTGTTGTTGTTATTTAAACCAATACAAATGAAAGCAATTCAGCATTTTCTGTAACTCATACGACTTTATGTCCTTGCATGAACATCATTTTTTTCCTTATTTACTATAAGTAAGCATCGATAAGGAGGTAAATTGTTGGCCTTGGTTTGGGTCGACTGTGAGAACCAACTCGTTCACAACTGCTGTATACCCAAACTACAGTTTTCCACAGACATTTGAGATGGAGAAAATCACCTCCACAATTTTATTTCTCATAAGTGACTGTACCTTAACTAACCTGTTTTGAGGAACCATTTTAAAGCTTAACTACAGCACTACATGTTTATTTTAAATAATTCAAGAGCCGGCAGGGGGGTGGGCGGTGGAAATGAACCTTTGGGGTCCTGAATTTTATTGGAAACTGTATATCTGTCTGCAGGCTGTCAACTGAAATTTACTCTCAATTTTTTTGTTTGTTTGTCTGTTTTTACCAGAAATGCATTTTGAAATGTCTTGTCCTCGGAAAATATTTGCTATTTAAAGAAACATCATAGAACTTGGTGAGCATTTATTAGTATATGATTTCAAAACCTGGGTTTGGTGGGGGTTTTTTAAACTAAACTTCCCTTAGGCCAGTAGGAATCCGTGCTTAGACACTACAGATCTCTCATAGCTCCATCTCATAGGAACGCCCACTATTTGTAAATATACTAAGAGCAACATGCCAGAAAAATCTATGGGAAAATCTATTTCGTGTGAATTATACAATTATTGTATCCAAGCCTTCCCTAATTAACTTTAGAGTGTTCATCTTTCCCTCAAGCTTGGTAGATGGATTTTGAGTTCAGACTTAAAAGTCATGTGCTTGAAAGGGCAAAAAAAGTAGCTGGTGAGCCTCCTGATCCCTTACCAGACTTTTAATAGTGGCTGTTTTTGGAGCTGTTTGTGAATGCACATTTAACACCTCAGTTTGAGAGCTATTTGAGCACCACATCCATTTAGCTGACCCCATTATTTGTCATTCTGCTAAATAACCTTAAAAACGGATTTTCATAAAGGATTAAAGTTTTATGGTTATTCCCCTCTAATAATATCAGGAGTAAAGTGGTCACAAATAGTAACCCAAGACTAACTGTAAAATCATGTTTCTAAATTCATATGACTTTGGAAAGTGAGTACTTGAGTCTCTTTTGTAGTGTAATAAAAAGCAAACACTCGTGTAATTTACTGATACCTAAAAGCTATTGATACTGGAAACTTAAAGATCTTAATTGTTTTTCCTAAAAGTAGCAATAAATGAAATGTTTTAAGAAGAAAAAAAACTTTAGAATTCAAGGGAAAAAAGGCAAAGTAACAGTTCTAAAGAGTGTGATTTCCATCTTCCTTAAGTTCACTAACTGAATATTTTAATCTGAGTAGTGTGGTATGACATAACGTTATGTATAGCTTCTATTTACATACATTTTAGAAACATTAATGTATTAAGTTGTAATTGTGTTCTCTTTTTACACGTTTCAGTTGCTTTGATGGAACTTCTCAAATTATCTGTTAACTTTGTGTTAATGCCTTAACCAATGGGTGGAAGATATAGGAATCAAAGTTCTATAATTGCTTTTATTTTTACAAAGAGTATAAGATCCAAGAAAACGAACAAGTTACCTTTAACATCAGAAAGACTGCATTAATATTCAGACTACTCAAAAATGTCCCCAAAGCCACACTTGAAGAGGTATATTTGTTTACACACTCAGGTAAATATAACTTTCCATATGTAAATGTTCTTTTTCATATGTAAATATTCTTATGTGAGGGGTATATATACATACGGCCACAATTCTCACAGCAAGCTTTGTCCTGCACAATACGGACAAATGACGCGGGAATATAGATGTGTCCTTCCATATAACAGTTTCGATGTAAATAGTCCAGGAATATATTTTAAATCGTAGCTTGTGGGGGGGGGGTGCTTTTCTCCCGGCGAGCTTTTTTTTTTTTTTAATAATCCACGGTACATAAATTAGATGGGCCACAATCTTAACATCGATTTTTTTTTCAAACTCAAAGAGGGATAATCATTTTCTTTTCAAAATTAGGAAATCAATTAGAATATTTCCCGGGATGCTAAAGAAGGGTTTCTGTAGTTCATTGTGGGAGGGGTCCGGGTGCAAAGAGTAAGGGAGAAGGGTGAGGGTCCTGAGACCTCAAAGAGGGAACGAAGTCAAACTGTCCTTGACCAAGCGCTAAGGAAACACTTTAAAATGGAATCTGTCAGGGAACAGCTGCTCGGGAAATGTGTTAAACAAACCAGCCACTTCGAGCAGGGTTTGTCCGTAGAGGAGTCGGCTCGGTCTCCAGGACGCGAATAATGGGGTGAATCACAAACTCCCCAGGGCAGGGAGCTTGGTGAAGACCCAGGCTCAGCTCTGGCCGCGGGCCCGGAAGCCCCTGAAAGGAGCTGCGCTCGCCTGAGAAACTGTAAAGGACCCTGACTCGGCAGGGTTGTGAAGCCAGGATGCCAGGCTACACGGTTTCGGGTCGGGGTAGTAGGGATGTAGGATCGGGATACCGGGTCAGGATACAGAACTGGGGTCCCGGGCGCCTGATGCAGGGCAGGGTTGCCGGGAAGCATTGCGGGGCCGAGCAGTTGCGCTGCACCGCGACGCCCGGCGAGGACATAGGGTCGGATGCCAAGTCGGGATACCCTATTGACTCCAGGAGTCGCGCACTTGTCAGTTTCCTCTTGACCACGCCCCGGCGGAATAAGTCCAGCTCCCCAGTGTTTAAGTAAGCCTTGACACCAACGCAAAATCCACGCCTAATTAAATTAATTATGGATTCTTGTCATCCTGAATTAATGGCCAAGAGCGCAGGCGGCCGAGGTATCTGAAAACCCGGACTGTCTGCCTCTTCTCCCCACTCCCTCTGGTCCCCCTTCGCTGTCCTCACTCACACTCCAGCCCCTGTACTCCAGCCTTAATCAATCTCAATCTCTCTGTCTCTCTGTGTCTCTGTCTCTCTGTCTCTCTCCCCCTCTCCCTCCCTCCTCCTCCTCCTCCCTCCCTCCCTCCCTCTCTCCCTATCACCCCCACCTCCCAACCCCCACTCCCCCACCCCCAGGTAGTGGCGCGGGTGCTTCCCGGGAAGGGTCTCCCTCCGAGTTGCGAAGGGGAGGTAATTTACTCAGAACAAGGGGCCGCCTTTGCGAAGTATAAATAGTGAGACTTCAAGCGCTGCGTTGCTATCAGATCTGAACTCTCCGCAGGAAGAATTGTCAAAGATCTTAACATTGAACAAGCGCGCTCCGGCAGGGAAGCATCAGTTCCCATTTCCCTCCCGCGGCCCCCGCCCCTTCCCTCTTCCTCTTCTTCCTCCTCCTCCTTCACCTCCTCCTCCTCCTCTTCTTACTTCTTTTTCTCCTTCTACTTCTCCTCCTCTTTCTTCTTTCTTCTCTTCTTTTTCTTCTTCTTCCTCCTCCTCCCACTCCTCCCCCACCCCTGTCCCATTGATGTGTTATTATTGGGGGGGCTGGAGCAGTAAAAAAAGAAGGAGGAAAAAAAGAGCTGGGCTCGGCTGGGAGACGTTGAGCGCGGGGCTGACGGGCATTGGCGGCGATGGAAGAACTTACGGCGTTCGTCTCGAAGTCTTTTGACCAGAAAGTGAAGGAGAAGAAGGAGGCTATCACGTACCGGGAGGTGCTGGAAAGCGGACCGCTGCGCGGGGCCAAGGAGCCGACCGGCTGCGCGGAGCCGGGCCGTGACGACCGCAGCAGTCCCGCAGTCCGGGCGGCCGGCGGAGGCGGCGGCGGCGGAGGAGGCGGAGGCGGAGGCGGAGGAGGTGGAGGAGGTGCAGGAGGAGGAGGAGCGGGCGGAGGAGCTGGAGGAGCGCGCTCTCCTGTCCGGGAGCTGGACATGGGCGCCGCCGAGAGAAGCAGGGAGCCGGGCAGCCCGCGGCTCACCGAGGGTAACGGCCTGACCCCCGCCCGCGCTTCCCCTTCCCGCCTTCCTGATTCCTTTCGGGCGGGAGAGGACACCAAGGCCCAGCGGGGAGGGGGGCGGGACGCGGAGAGGGCTCTTGGACCCCAGCTTTGGAAGCTGGAGTGAGGATGGAGGGGTGGGAGTCCGATGGTGTGCACGGTCGTGGGTGGGGTCCGAATGTGTGTGCGGGGAGGGGGGGCGTGTGGGGTTTGCGCGCGCCCTTCTCAGATGCTCCCGCTACTCCCATTCCACCGAAACGCATTTTCACCAACGGGAGGATGGGCCCGCAGCCCAGACGGCCCGCAGGCGGATGGGGAAGTTCGCTGGGCCGGGCTGCGAAAGGGGGTGCTGGCACTAGCTTGGCCAGGCGGCGGGATTACAGTTAGCATCTAGCGCCGAGTTTGCGGGAGCCCCTTTCCTAGGCCCGAGAAAAAAAGAGAAAGGAGACAGAGATACAGAGACAGAGAGATTGATTGGGATTTCATCCTGGAGTCGCCCCGGACGGATTTCGTGCCGCCGCTAACTCCGCGAAGACCCTGGCTGCCTGGAATTTAGGGACCCAAACTTCCCATTTTCTTTGAGCTGTGAAGGTAGAATGAGACCAAGGCAGGCTAAGGTTCAGGCTGTGCGCTGTTTCTTTCGGGAGATGCGTTAGGCTCCTTTTTTGTTTGTTTGTTTTTCGAAATTTTACTGCATCGCATCATCCAGTACCCTGATTTTGTGGTGGGATAATCCTTTGGTGCCAGGAAAGTGTTAGGAAAAGGCTTTTTCTAAATGGTGGAGCGTCCTGTACCAATTCAAAGGAGTTCAACAATAAAATTAATTTGGCACTTGGTGCCTGCAGTAACTGGTGTGCTGCCATATTTTTCCAATTAAGGAAATATGTGGCATGCTTAGAATCACATATTTAAGCAAGCAATTAAGTCGTTTATAACAGTCTGTTCTTATTTAGGCCAATAAGTGGAAATTTGGGGGCGAAATAGAGATTATATTAAGTCTGTTAATCAACTGTAAATGTGGACATCTTTCTCTTTGAAGCCCCAAAAGTTTGAGAGGCTTCCACTGTGGATGGCACGAAATAAACAAAACCAAAGGCAGAATTTGAAAGATGTGTTTTCATATTTAAATTTCATTGCAATATCTGTGGAAATATTTTCCTATTAACTTGGCTTCGGTTTGTGCTATAATGTATCCACTTCTTCCCTAAGGAAGGACAAATGTCCACAACACAAACTTTGAGAAGTAGATATGCAGGAAACACTTAAGATCACGGTAACTAGAATGCCAAGCTGGGCTGAGTTCTAGAGGTTCTTCTCCCAGACGGGGAACCAAGTACTCCTAAATTTGGAAAGTGGTAGCATAACTGTCAGGCGGTCCAGTGCACCCTCCCGGGCCTGAGTCCCCAGCTCCAGGCCCCGCGTACACCAGCAGGCACCCCCCACAAAGTTAGGGTCTGAACCGTGGACAAACGAAGTCCTGGGGTTGTTGATTTCCAAGCTCAGGGCAAATATTAATTTGTCTGCAGGCCGGCTCTTCTGGAAATTATTTTTAACACCCATGCTGATCGGGATTCTGGGCTGGGAAGAACTGCAAACAGCCTCGATTATCCAAACTCAGCTTTTGCACCTTAAAAACCCAAGTCTCCGACTCAGGCGCAGAGGTTGAAGGTTCCAGAAGGCAGCTTATGTTGATACTGGCTCCCCTGATCACGGTCCCTTGGCCTAAATATATATATATATCCACATCCCTCTAGTGTCCCTGTATGGTCACACTCGTGGATCTCCTGTATTTAAAGGGAGGAGAAAGAAGGACAGGAAAGTGGCAACGGATGTGTGCAAACCTAGAGCAGAAAAATGCATATTTTATTAAACATCCGAGCTGCTGGATGCATGAAAAGGCTTTGAGCAACCAATAGAAACCGAGGATCCCGAATGTTCCGCTTGAACCTGTTGATCTCTGTGGGTTTAAGCATTCAGGGTCGCGTCTGCCTTTCCAATGGGGAGGGAGAAAGGAGCGAAAGAGACAGCGGTCTGTTTCGCTGGCTCCCCGAAGCTGGTTTTCCACCTCTCGGCCTTCCGGCCGGGTGTGGGCAGCGAGCCCTCCAGGCCGCCAACATGGCGTGGGCGCCTCTGCTCAGGCGACTGGGATTCGGCAGGGGGGACAGGGACTGCCTGACTGTCCGTGGGCCGTCCGCGGGATTTGGTCCAAGCCCTGGGTCCGCACAGAGCGCCCGGGAAAGTGGCTCCCGCCATGCGGCCCCGGGGTCTTGTCCTCCTGCTGTGACCCTTCAGCCCAATTGTTCCCAAATTAGACCAGCAAGTTTGAGAGAGACAAGAGAGCCGGCGGCGGCCACTGCTGGCCTGACAACGGCCCAGCACTCTGGGAATGGCCGGTGTAAGAGGCCAGTCCATGGCCTCGCTGCGCTCTCCCGCCGGTATCTCGTTCTGTGACCCGCCCGGTGCGGCGCTTTTGATTTTTGTGCGCGAGTGGGAGAGAGTGAATGCAAGAGAGGGTTAGTGGAATTGACTTGGTGTTCTCGGGGGAGGGCAGGGGACTGTGGGCTGAATAGTGAGGAGGTGAGCCGAGGCCACAGTTGCAAAAGGGATGTGTGGGTGAATGCCCACCTTGCCCGCGGGCGGCCGCCCAGAGTTGATCTTTTCGCGTCTCCAGGATCCTTTTCCTCGCAGCCGGGTGAGGAACTGGACAGGAACTCCGGGAGGGGGCAGGATCCTCCATCCTTCTGGAGACAGATCTGGTAATGGCATTTGCTGTGTTGTTTTTGTGTGTGTGTGTGTGTGTGTGTGTTGCTGTGTGCGCGCGTGGACGTACGTGTGCGGTCCTGTTCGTGGTACCCTCTCCAGTGTCCCCGGAACCGAAGGATCGCAAAGAGGATGCGAAAGGGATGGAGGACGAAGGCCAGACCAAAATCAAGCAGAGGCGAAGTCGGACCAATTTCACCCTGGAACAACTCAACGAGCTGGAGAGGCTTTTTGACGAGACTCACTACCCGGACGCCTTTATGCGTGAAGAACTGAGCCAACGGCTGGGGCTGTCCGAGGCCCGAGTGCAGGTACCCGCCTGTGAGGAGGTCGCGCTGAGCAGAGGAGGGGCATGCCTGGGGTTGGAGAGTCGCCTGGGGTACACACGACGAGGGTGCGGGTCCAAATGTCTGGAGTGAGGTGAAAAGGGAAGCGACGTCTCTGCTAGAGGTCTTATTTTCCAAAGTAGATCTTGGTCTTAAAGCCTTCCCGTGCTCCCCCCGCCCGCCCCGCCCCATCCCAACATATGTTCCCAGCAGAAGAAAGCTGTGTTGGGCTTGCTCCCAGAGTTTCTATAAACCACACCCCCGACCCTCGCCTCTCTATGCCTTTAATGTGGTTTAATCCTAATGGGCCTACTTTTACAAGCCTTAAAAAAATCCCACAGAAAACGTTTTATCTTCTGGATGCCTTAAAAGTTACAACGAATATTTTGTTCAGCGGAGTTGGGTTTCCTTGAGGGTCTGCTCTGGGATCTAGGTTTGCCAAGCGGATATGCCAATTAGGTTTATAGATGTACAGACTATAAAGAAATTAGCAACTGTTAAGTGCACAAATTTACAGTCTGCCGTTAGCGGTTGATCTCAAACTGTGTGTGAAATAGCAGAGAAATAAATGCGTTTGGTCACTCTTTGTTCTCTCGCTTAACCAGGGAAGTGAACCTGAACGTACAGAAACTTGATTTTAAAACAATCCACATATCTTAATATTGACATTTCCAAAATCTGACCTCAGCAAGTGCCACACTAAATGGAGTTAGCATTGGAGCAGATTTTCTTTACCGGTTGTGGAGGTGAATGTAATGGGAAAAGTAGGCTTCAGGAGCGCTTAAGGGGAAAAAAATTACATACATACATGCATACATATCCTTTTAGTTTTATGGAAAACGAATTTAAATGTTTCAGGTTGTATTTCCACTCAAATAATAAAATAGAAAATGATAGTCATTATTTGTTTGAACACATGGAGCAGTTTTAGGCCTGAACATCTGCAGCTGTTACAAAGTATCACTGTAACAGATACTCCCTAGGTCTCTGGGCTAGAGACCACCATCTGCAGCGAACTATGCAATTCTTATGGGGCTTCCCCGCATCTTGTAATAGGATCAGGACAAAAACAGAGCAGTCACTTTAAAGGGGAAAAGTAATAATAGGCTGCCTTGGTCATCACAGCATCAACAGCAGAGCCTTCCTTTTTAAGCCTCTCCTACTTTGCTCTGTGCACTGAGATCTCTAGAGGCTTAGCAACCCCTTAAAGACATGATGATAATTATTACAGTTGTGAGCATTAGTGTATCAGCTCCAACTCTTCTAGGGGAAAAAAGAGGCAAAAGCCTCAGGCCATGTGAGGTACACAAAGGATGCCACCCTGGCATGAAATCTACCCTTCTACTACACTAAATGGCAGGGGAAATTTTGAAGATTTCCATTGACTATGACACTTGCTTTCAAAAACAAGAAGAAAGTTCTGAAGCAATATTTTATTTTCATGTTTTTTAATATTAATTTATGAATCAGTCAATATGCTGTGTTATTGGAACATAATGCTATATTATTGGAGTATAAAAGCAAGCTTTATTTAAATGTCTTAAAATCTGCCATACTGCCTCTAAAAGTTGGCAAGTTTATCTAAGAAGGTAATATCTGGGAGAAGATAGTATCCAGCAGTTACTTGATTCATACCCCACTCCCATTTCACAGAATGTTTTTCTTTTTTTCTCATAATAAGTGAACTTCATTGCTGGTATTTATTTTTTCATACTTTATTTAAATTTTGATCTATCTTCTGGACACTTCTCTACTACCCTAACTGTACTCAGTGGCTTTTTCTACAGAAGCAAATTAGATTATCATGATAATGGCACAATTATTCTGCTACCATGTTACACTCTGCTGCACAGAGGAACAGAGAAATTCTAAACTTCTTTGTAGTGAGGCTTTTATGACACTAATTACCTCTTCCCCCACTCTTATCCCGCCACCCCCAGGGAAAAAAAAAAACAAAAAACAGAGTCACTATTTGCTTTGGTGTTTGGTTTTTCTTGAAGATGAAACTAATTAATATTACAGGCTATTAATGAGCATTTTCTTCTCAGGTCTTACTGGGCAAACATCTAAACCCATTATCACTTTAGTATCAGGTATCAGGGCGAGTTTTAGGCCTTAGGGATTCTAACTGTGGAAACATGAAACCGGGACTACAGTAATTTATCAAGAAACAACTTATCTCACAAAAGTATATGAAATCTTTCTATTTTTGTCATTTATTTATGTTTTTAACTTTGGAAATTAAGATTCTTGTATATAATTCAAAGATTGCTTGCTATATCTCCCAGTCCTTGCCTATAACATTACTCTGAGTCATAACATCTAGGTTTTATTTTTTCCTCCACTTTGTAGGTTTGGTTTCAAAATCGAAGAGCTAAATGTAGAAAACAAGAAAATCAACTGCATAAAGGTATGCTTCTCAGACAAAGAACATTTGATACTCTAAGTAAAAAGAGTATTAGGGGATGTTGTTATTATGAAGACAGAAAAGAACCTTGTCAAAGATAACTATGGTCCTTATTTAAAAATCTGCTCTGAAGGCAGTTAATGAGAGTCCTAAAGTTTGGGAGTAAATTACATTGCTTTTAATTTTAGCAGCAGTTTAGGAAGATAACAGTACAATTCCAAAGGAAATAGTTCTATCTTGGTTCCATTTGGAACCTTGGAAAACAATGCTGGACATGTTAATCTCACTTTATTGTGTTTTGTTCCCCCATTTTTTGCAGGCGTCCTCATAGGGGCTGCCAGCCAATTTGAAGCTTGTAGAGTAGCACCGTACGTCAATGTAGGTGCTTTAAGGATGCCATTTCAGCAGGCAAGTACAGCCCAGTTTCAACCTGTTTTTAACTGTGAAAAGACCTGGATATTTGCCTGAATTGTTGAACATCCCCTGTCTCTGAGCCCCAATACAGGTGTATATACAGGTAGAGGATCAATTTTCAGATGACATAGTGGGCCTACTCCCCTTTAAAAACCTATACAGTGTCAGAGGCCTACATGCCTAGTCCTTTCTGTCCTCATGGGAAACCCACAGAGGCCTGAGGGCAGCAACTGGTCCTTTAAAAATGCACTGAAGATTGCACTTGGGGAGAGGAAGGGAAAGCCTTCTGATTAAGATTTTGTCAGATCCAGTACAGAGGTTAGTCCTAAGGTGTTTCTAAGGCAACTCTCTAAATATTTTTCTGGGTGTTTTCTATCTCTTATTCACATTAAATGTCTCTGACTGAAGATAAACAAACAAACAAATAAATAAATAAATAAATACACTCCCAGCTCAGACTTGATTTTTTAAAGCTGCAAAGCTTCATATCTAGTAGAGAGGGAAGCACTGGTCTTCCCAGGGACACCTTGCGGCTGCAATCCATTTCTTAGCCATACAGAAACCTTTAAGACTATATTTTAAAAGTACAGCCTGCAGCAATGATTTAATCCTGGGAAATCCCAGTGCTCTGAACTCCCCATTCTCCAAGCCTAAGGGTGCAATCCTTTCCCAACCAGTGCCTGACCTTCCCCATGGCCAGGCCCCCTGCTCCGTAGGACTGTGAGGTCATGAATTAACTCTCAGATGCCAGTGTCCTGGTCGGAGGAGACACCTGGCTGCACCTGTGTATTGAGGGTTAGTATTAGGCAGATCTTAGCTCTCCTGGCACCACTGGATTCTGGTATCCTGATGCTAGGCTTTTGAAGCAAGAGAGAATGACCGGAGAGAGAGGGGAATCTTAAAAGGAGACCCTTACTACTCAGAAGGTGATCTCCTAGTCTGCAGCATCAGCATCAGCTGGGAGATTGTTAGAAATGCAGAATCTCTGGCCCTACACTAGACCTTCTGAATCAGAATCCACATTTTAACAAGATAATTTTAATAGCAAGGTAATTTTAATAGCAGTAAATGTTAGAAGTACTAACAATTGTGCCAGTTGTGATGAAGATGCAACAACTTTCCTAGGTGACATTTTTAAAGTTTTGTAATTTGCTTAATGGTACTTCAGTGTTTTAGTAGCAGGGTAAAAGGTGTACGACAGCATCAAAATAGGAGGGTAATGACCCTCATCCCGTCGTCTGTCCAATATACATTGTTATTTTCAGGAGGGTGATGTATTAGCACAATAGCAATGTCGCCTTCTGATGGACCCAGCTCCCGAGGGGGCGGCCACAATTTCTGCAGACGGGAGTCCCTGGGACTCAAGGGGATAGGCCACACTGAGCTAGTTGCAGAGACTCAGGGTCACTGGAATATCCCTGTGGCGCCCCAGATTCAGTAACAGACTGATAAGGTCAGCCAAATGCCCCTTTCCCGTCCCTTGCCCCAGCCTTACCCGAGCTAAGCTGGACGCCGTTAATGCTCTGTTTCTATTCTGTTGTCACCCTAGGATAGTCATTGCAACGTGACGCCCTTGTCCTTTCAGGTTCAGGCGCAGCTGCAGCTGGACAGCGCCGTGGCGCACGCGCACCACCACCTGCACCCGCACCTGGCCGCGCACGCGCCTTACATGATGTTCCCCGCGCCGCCCTTCGGACTGCCGCTCGCCACGCTGGCCGCGGACTCAGCTTCTGCCGCCTCCGTCGTGGCTGCCGCAGCTGCCGCCAAGACTACCAGCAAGAACTCCAGCATCGCGGATCTCAGACTGAAAGCCAAAAAGCACGCGGCCGCCCTGGGTCTGTGACGCCAACGCCAGCGCCAACGTCGCGCCTGCAGCGCGGCGCGCACCCTGCACGCCCTCCGAGCCCCAATGCTTCTCCGTTACCTGCTCCGGACCTCTGGAGCCGAGCCTCTTTCCACCCGCTGATCGCCCCTTGCCCCATTCCGCATCCCGGACTCGGAGGGCGTGACCTGGGATCCCAAGAGGGGCACCTGCTCCGTGGCTCCTGACCATTCACCTACCCAAGGGCCTAGAATTTGGCTTTGTAGGGCTGGGTTTGGGAGGTCTGGAGAGAGACTGGACAAGGGAGTGCTGGGACAGCGGAGTGTGTGGCTCACGGCAAAACTGCGACGATGGACTCTTGCGTAGAAATAAAAATCCTGTTAATAAAAAATGAGGGGAAAAAAAGTAGAAAAGACAAACCAGAGATAAATAGAGAAAGGGAACTTATTGCTATTCGTCAGCAGCTGAAATCGGAGAGAGAACCAAGGAACAAAAAAGAAAAAATTTTAAAGTATTTTGTACATTAAAAAATATGGAAAAAGAACCTGGACGAATCTCGAGAGAATTGGGACGGCGGTGGGGCGGGGGGGAGTTACCAACTTAAAGTGTATGTTTTTTAAAATGGGCTAAGAAGGCAAAACAGAAGGAAGAGGTATACTTATTTAAAGAATTAAGATGAAAAAAATGTACGCAGCTGGGAAGTTCACAGGTTTTGAAACTGACCTTTTTCTGCGAAGTTCACTTTAATACAAGAAATTTGATGAGAGGCGGGCCTCCTTTTACGTTGAATCAGGTGCTTTGAGTTAAAAACCACCAGTATGGAAGAGCAAGAAGAGGGAAGACAGTATAAAAACAAGGAGAGAAAAAAATATTAATACAAAAATGATACCACAGACGATGATTTCTCTGAGAAAATTATTATGGCAGAACTGTCCAGACTGCTGACAGTAAATTCCGGTTTGCATGTTACTTGTATTCCATTGATGGTGTCTCCCCCCTCCCCGCTTTACTCACATGCACTTAACTCCATTTTCATTTTCAGTATAAAAACAATACCCAAAGCATCTGGAAATTGATATATATATATATATATTTCTATCTATATTTATTTTTGTCCCGTCTTTAATCCTGGGGGACAAAATTAAAAAGTCTGAAGGGCAAAAAAGTTACACTCTGATTGTCCCAAGACAACAGAGGCAGGTAGAAAATGTGAGAAAAGGAAAAAGAAAAGATAAATGAAACGGTGAAGGTACAGCGCCTCACGTGGTGCCTGATACATAGTGGGCGCTCAGTGTTAAGTCCCCTCTCCTCCCCCTTTTCTTGTATTCCCTCTTGCAGATTTCCTAAAATCCTATTTGAGGACCGTGCTTTATTTCCCCCTCTCTGTCCCATCACACTCACTTTAAACAACACCCAGATAGATACAGGCACTAAGTTTGTGTAAAATATGTTGATAAACACGAACAAAGTTTATTTTGGCTATAACGTGTGAACTGATAGTTGACTTTCAACATTTGCATTTTATCTCACAAGGGTGTATATTCAAGTAATATTTTTGTTTGTCTCAATTCATGTAGCTATTTAAACTGGGATACCCTGAACTAAGCAATCTGTATCCCAATTCTCTAAAAAAAAAAAAGCCTCCTTAGTTTTTGGGGTTTTTTTAATCCCTTATACAAGAACGAGGAAAAGCTCTTTTAGCTGAACTTTGGTGTGCGGTTGAGCTTTGTAACTATTTGTTCTCCATGAAAACAAAATTATTTATATTTGCCATATTTTTTCTAGTGTATTAAGTTATTTTAAACAAAAGAAGATTCTGTTATTTCATGATGTGCTGTCGGTACAAAATGTTTCGGTCTCACCTCTGTTAAACCTTTTAAATAAGTGCCAAGTTATTAATTGAAGACACTTTGCGATCAATTGAATCAAAATAGTATTGTTTCATTTGATGGGGTTCGCGTCATCTTTGTTCCTGTTACTATTAAACTATCCGGGATAGTCTTTCTTTCTTCCTTTTTGATGAATCAATATCTCTCTCTCTCTCTCTCTCTCTCTCTCTCTCTCTCTCTCTCTCTCTCGCAGTGCTTTTGTAGGTCTACCAACTTGGAAAAGCGCTTGCCTCTTCTCCTATGTGCGACAATCAAGGGACCGGACCGTGAGAATGGTGGCTCTGTGGCTCTCGGAAGCCCAGAGAGGAAATGCCCCCCGCCCGCCCCCATTTTATCCACCCAGCACAGAAACCGGATTGATTTTACACCAAATCAATAAAGGAACAGATAACATGTAGAATAACATAGAATAACCCCCTTCCCCAAGACGGACTCTCGTTCTTCATTCTGCTGCACTTTCGCCCTTGAAGTTCATTTGGGAAACATTTTGGGGAGGAACAAAGCGTGATCACGCGATGCGAAATCCACCTGGGTTAATTGTGGCAAGACAGACACTTGGTCCCAGGTCGCCGACCCTCCCCGGAGTAGGTGGCGGTTTGGGAGTAAGATAAGAGCCGCGAAGCGGGGCGGGGGTGCCGGGGAGAGCGGGTCCCCCGCCTCCCACTTCAATTTAGCGCTTTGGCCCAAACAGATTTTTCGTTTGTTAAATTTAGGGAAAGGGAGAAGCTAGGATCGTGTTTAGGAAAAGCCGGGTCTTAGCCATCCTCCGGATACCGAGGAGCCCCTCCCTCCCTCCCTCCCTCCCTCCTCCCGTCCCCTCTCCCGGAAGAAATACTGCCTACTAAGCCCGAAGGCTCTGCCTGTTTGCGGGTAGGTACAGACCGTAAAGACCCGGGACAGGACCTGACCTTCCCTTCCCTTCCCTCTCGGACTCTTGGGATAGGGGACACCCTCCGCCAAAACTGAGGGTGTCCCGAGTGTCCCCTGGGGCCCCCTAGGGGGCGGAGGATGCGTAGAGGAGACCCTCCTTGCGACAAAACCCCGTATCCTCGGGCCTTGCTCCCTCCTCCCCAACCCGGCCCTCTCCCGGGTTGAGCTCGCACTCAAAGCTGTTCCTCCGCGTACACGTGGGTGATATGTTTATTTTCATCTTTTAGTCTTCAAAGACCACAGAACAGGACTTGGGCCTTATTCAGAGCTCAGGCCTTGCGGGTCTTCTACTTGACAAGCGTCCCTAGTTTTCGTAATAAACATTTGCTTGGGGGCGGGGTGCGCTTTGAAGCCGCGGCGCCGCGCCTCCCGCCTGGGGCAGTGGCCTCCGGCTGGCTCCCGTCGGCGCCGGGGTCCTGGGTCCGAACGGGCAGGCTCCAAGCCCCAACCCTAATCCAGCCCCCGGCGCAGGCTCGGAAGTTTCCCCGGACACCCCGAGGGAGGTCGCAGGTCACGGGAGAACTTGGGGCCGGTGGTTTGCAGTTCTGTCCGGGGCCCAGCCAAGGGCGCGACCGACGCGGAGCCCAGCCTGTCCCCGCAGCTGAGCTCAGGGAGCCTGAGGTCAAAGGAGGCGTTGCGTCCGGCCCGAGGCCGGCCGGGCGCCAGGCACCAGCGAAGGGGCGCGGCAGCGCGGCCTACGTCGGCTGGAACGTTACCGGCCGCCGGAGCCGGCTGGGCTGGGCGCGGAGCCCGCGGGGATGGGGTCCTGGCGGGAGCGCGGATGGCAGAGGAGCCCGCGGACGCAGCCCGGCAGGGCGAGAAGAAGGAAGGCCAGTTTCTCAGACCCGTCGGCTGTACCTGAGCCAGGCGAGGTCGGTGAGACCAGCGTCAGGGCCGCCCGCGGCGTCCTCGCCTCCTCCCGAGTCCGCTCTCCCGAGACTCAGCGAGGACCAAGGCCGCCTTTCCTTTCCCATCGGGCCGGTCCCTCGGGGGTCCAGCCTCCCACAGGCGCCCGAGCAGAGCCCGCTTTCCCGGAGTGCCACGGCCACCCGGGCAGGCGCTTGGGTGTGTGAACAAGAGATTCCAAAACCTGAGTTTCCAGAGCCACTCTGAGAAGTGGTCGGAGGAAAGCTTCACTTTAAATTCAAATATGCCCCAACATGCATGTTGTTTCGGTCCAAACTCAATAATCGCAATAAATAATTAAAATTTCCCCCAGTTGTTCCCCCAAATCTTTCAGGGTGTGCAAAGCCTTCCCAAGCTATAAAATCCCTGGGGAAAACTGAATTAAAAGAGCTTACTCAAAACATCATTAGTGTTAAAGACCCTATTATGCAGGAGGCCCATTGAGATCGGAGGCCTTAGCTTGAAGCTGAGCTGATAAATATCTATTTTGAGTTTTCCCCCAGATTTGTAACTTTTTAGATCCTCAGATGGTAATACTTTAGCATAATGCAATGCTCAAATTTCGGAACTATTTTGATTTCTGAAAAATGCCTTTTTGGCTTCGGTGACATGAGATCCTGTTATTTTTTCACAAATCAGTTTACATCATAAATTGCAAACATTTGCAATAAGATCTCAAGATTGTTTATTTTATGTAACCTCAAGCACTTGACTATGTTAAACACCAGTACAGAAAGTCTGTGAAATCAGTTTAATGTGTGTGAGGGAATTAAAGGATCACTCCTTTTCATCACACAAAAAAAGCATTTAAGATTGTTTTGATTGTCAATCTCCCAATTTTTAAAGTCTTACAATTGACTATTAATTTTAGAGTCATTCCGTGCAAAAATAATTACTAAAGTTATATCCTGCTTCAATTAAATGTTTCTGGGCAGAAGAAAATGGTATTCTACATTGGGAAATGGGTGATTGTTTTCAATGTTATATTATTTTAAATTATTTTAGTTCAAATGTAAATAAAGTCTGCTAATTCCAAGGGGGGAAAAAGACCTGCAATGGTTTCTTAACATGCTGTTAGAGCAGTTAGTCAAAGTGCATTAAAGGAATGTCACAGAACCAGAAATAATAAATATGTCATTCTAATGAGAGCGTTAACTTATGGATAATTTATTCAAGGTAGTTTTTACGTTTCACATGGAATCTCTTATTATGACCTGCCTGAGTACTGTGATGCTTGTTCTTCAAAATCTAATTTATATAGGCTTGAGATATACATAATTCATAACTCCTGTTGATATATGTATACACACCACGAATTTTAAACCTTTACAATATGCTTGCATGTTTACTAGCATGTTTTCAAGACAACTGGAATAAAAACATAAAAAGTGTTAAACATTTTATTGAAAGCATGTGTGAAGAAAAAGTAGTTGAAAATTAACAGTTAAAAAGGATTAGATAATTTTCAAGCTCAGATACAGAGTGAACACTGAAATATTTCAGACAGGGAACATTCTTGTATAAGAAATATGAAAATCTCCAAGAAAGACTTACAGATGTGAGCTTATAACACTTCTGATACCTAGGTAATCCTTTCATGTCTCTAATTCACAAAACAAAATATCCTCAAGTCTTGGGGGTATTTTGTTTCGGGTATTTTATGTGTCAATCAAGGTAACCATCGCATATGCCTTCAGTACAGGAAAATTTAGTATAGTACTTACGTGGAGTTCTATTGGCATGAAGAAAGACTTTAGAATATAAT